GCACACGCCTGTAATCCCAGCAGCTTGGGAAGCTGAGGCAGGAGGATTGCAAGTTCAATGCCAGCCTCAGCAATCTAGTGAGGTGCTAAGCAACTCAGTGAGATCCTGTCTCTAAATAAAATACAAAACAGGGCTGGGGATGTGGCCCCTCAGTTATTGGGTATCCATGAGTTCAATCCCCTGTACCAAAAAAAAAAAAAAAAAAGAGCTGAGGCATAGACTGGGGTGTGGAGAGTGTTTGCCTCACCTATGCAAGGCTCTGGGCTTGATTCCTAGTACTGAGGGAAAAAAATAAAGAAAACAAGTAGAAAAAGAAACAGAGAGGCATGGCCTAGTGGAAAGTCCTCAGGCCACTGGGGGTCTTGTCCTCTGAAGGGAATGCTGGTGCCCTGAAGAAAGTTCTGGAAAGAGCATTGTCATTAAAAACTGATCCTGATCTCCCATTCTGTCTTCTTGTCTCATTTAGTTTATTTTTTGCAGTACTAAGAATCAAACCCAGGACCTCACACAGGCTAGGCAAGCACTCTACTCTTGAGCTACATCCTCAGTCCTTTTTATTTGATTTTTGAGACAGGGTCTCATTATGTTGATCAAGCTGGCCTTGAACTTTCCATCCTCCTGCCTCAGCCTCCTGAGTAGCTAGGATTACAGGTGTGTGCCTCCATGCCCACTTGGCTTCCTGTCTTAAGATGTGATCTCTTCCTCTTGTGTGCTCTCCTGTCAAAGAGATGCCATCCACCATTTGGTGCTCACCAGAACGGAAATAATTCTGGTGCCATGCCCTTAAAGTTTAGAACTGTGAGCTAAATAAACATCTTTTCTTTATAAAGTTTCCCAGCATCAGATATTTTGTTATAGTAATGAAAAATGAATTAATAATACTCATCTTCATGCAGGTCCATCTCTACAGCTTGCCTAAAAAAAAAAATCTTTTACCTATTTCAACCCTCAGGCTCCTAAGACAACTTGTTTTATTTTAGTAACCCTGCATATACTTAAGGACCTATCTTCCTAAATGGGCTTACATCTCATAAAGGCAGAATTTGAACCTGAAAATCTGTCCTGGCATATAGATGCTTTGTTTCTGTAGGTTGTTTGTATATGTGCTATTTGAAAAGCCAAGGTACCCCAAGTATGACTGTAAGCTCACCAGTAAATACATGGGAAGAATCTTTTTAAGACTGTCAGATGGGGAGAAGATTTGCTTTGTAGTCTTTTTTTGGCAGTAATAGGAGTTAAACCTAGTGCCTCACACATGCAAGGTGAGTGCTCTACCCACTGAGATATATTCCCAGCACTAGATTTACTTTGATTTTTCATAAACCCTGGGAAAGGTGAAAGGGTTTTGTTTACATTGCTCAACTTGACTTAGAGCCAGTGCCTTTGGTTCTTGGTGGCTCTTGGATTGGGCTGGGCCCCTCAGCACTGAGTGGGGTGTGTCACACTTGACTTGGTTGGGCAGGCCCCTGACTTGGCTGCTGCCAGTTTTGGAAGAGGCGTTTGCAGGCCCCAGGGATCTTCATTGCCTTCTGCCATCTGTGGCCAACAGGCTAAGTCTGAGAGTCTAAGAAGGGACAGGTGGCCTGGCTGGCACATTCTGCAGACATCTCCTGGGACTGGTCAGTACCATCTCTGAACTGGAAGGCTAGTGCTCTGAGAGGCACCTCTCCCAGGCATGCAGTATCATACATCCCAGGTAGAGCCAAGTCTGGATCCTGCCAGGCCAACGTCTTCAGCCACAGACAGCTCTGGGTGGCTTGTCCCTCTCTCCCAAGCCCCAGCTGCATGCAGTTTCTTCCTGGAGCCCAAGAGGCAAGAGCCGCTGGGTTTTGTCCTCTCGTCAATGCCAAATTATGTGTTTTGTACAGGTCTTGGCACAGAGTAAGCACTCGGGAAATATTTATTGAACAACCAATGGAATGAATGTTCACTCTTCTTCAGAGGAGGCCACGTAAAGGCACTGACTACAGGTGGGAGGGGGAAAGAGTGGACTATAGAAACAGAGGACCCAGAAGGAAGGGTGAACAAAACTTGCCTGCATCTGATCAATCAGCAAGTCTTCCCAGACTCAATTCCTTCAGGTTCCCAGGAATTCTCTAGAAACCATAAGGTTAGGGCAGGTGTTTCCTAACCTGTGAACTCATGTTACTTCATGTGTGACCTGTGGATCAGCGGCATCAGCAGCATCTGGGAGCTTTTGAGAAAGGCAGACTCTCAAGCTCCACCCCAGACTTCATGAATCAGAATCTGCACTTGAACAAGATCCCTGGTGATCTGCATGCATCATGTCATCATTGGACAAGCAATGCCTCCAGCAGCAAGTGAATGAACATCGATCTGGAACCCAAATGAGGACTTCTCACCTGGCACAGAGGCAAGCTGTTGGGGAGTGTGGATAACTACATCTGGGATTTCTTCCTACCTCCATGACTCAGACAGATTATTGAGTCAGATATTTTCTCTCTCCAGTTCTTGAACACTGCCTGGAACATAGCAGGCACTCAATAAATATTCAACAAATGAATGTTGAACAAGTCTTAGGCTATTTTTAATTTTTATTTTTTATTTTAAATTTGTTCTAATTAGTTATACATGACACTAGAATAAGGTGATGTGATTTTTATTTTTTTATTTTTATTTTTTAAAGAGAGAGAAATTTTTTTTTAATATTTATTTTTTTAGTTTTCGGTAGACACAACATCTTTATTTTTATGTGGTGCTGAGGATCAAACCCAGCACCCCGCGCATGCCAGGCAAGTGTGCTACCGCTTGAGCCACATCCTCAGCCCCAGTGATGTGATTTTTAAATTTTATTGATTTATTTTAATTAGGCACATATGACAGCAGAATGCATTTTGATTCATTGTACACAACTGCAGCACAACTTTTCATTTCTCTGTACATGATCACACCATATGTGCAGTCACACATGTACCTAGGGTAATAGTGCCCATCTCATTCTGCCATCTTTCCTGCCCCCATCCCCTTTCCCTTCCCTCCCTCCCCTCTGCCCAATCAAAGTTCCTCCATTTTCCCCATAACCCCCCATTATGGATCAGCATCCACTTATCAAAGAAAATATTCGGCCTTTGGTTTTTTGGGGGTTGGCTTACTTTGCTTAGCATAATAGTCTCCAACTCCATCCATTTACCTGCAAATGCCATAATTTTATTCTCTTTTAATGCTGAGTAGTATTCCATTGTGTGTGTGTGTGTGTTTGTGTATACCAAAATCTTATGCTTTTTTTCAATTAAAGTTCTTATGCTATTTTTTCCATTAAAGTTCTTAAGGTATGCTGGACCTTCTGCTTCTGTATATAAATTGCAAGTTATTTTAAAAAGGATGTTTGTTCCCACTAAGGACTCCTGGAAGAACAGCTATTGTCTTATAAGCAATTACTGAGTACCAGGCCAGTACTTGAAATCATGTGGTCATGTTGTGTGTGTTTCACAAACTGTGGTTCCTGGGTAAGGGCATCAAGAATGACTAGCTGCTTGTTAAAAATGCAGATGCCTGGGACAGGTCTCAGAAACCTGCCCACTGGGAACCTTTGGGGATAAGGTCTAGAAGTCTACATTTTTACTGAGTATCACCATTCCCCAGCACACTGAAGTTTGGAAATGACTCATCCCCAGTTAACAGAGAAGAAAAATGAGGCACAGACAGGATAACTGATCTATGCAAAGTCATAAAGCTGTTGAATGGTCAAGGAAGGATGCAAACCCAGGACTGTCTAACTCTGGAATGCATAGTTTTCATCATATTGTCTGTTACACTGGCAAAACTAATAGGCTGATATGTGTATTTAGCCAGATATATGGTTTTGTGTACATTTCGTTTGTCAACAAAATTTTATAGACTTGGAAGGCAGTCAAGTGTGCTTTATTTCTCTCAGGATTCGTAACATCCCTTACCATGCTTAAGGAACAGAAAGATCCTCACTAAAAGTTGTCTAAGTTGAATTTCTACAGCTACGTGGTTATACGGTTCTATACATATTCACAAACATACAAAGGGTGTCTTATTTCTTTAATATGTATATATATATATATATATATATATATATGTTATAGATAGACATAATAAATCCCTCTATTTTATTTATTTATTTTTATGCAGTACTGAGGATTGAATCCAGTGCCTCATATGTGGTAGGCAAGTGCTCCACCACTGAGCTACAACTCCAGCCCTGGCTATCTTATTTTTAGTAGCATACAGGAACACATGATAACAACTATAAATGTTGCCACTCTTTCTTGAACCCAGTCCAATCAAGGTTTTGCTTGAACCACTCCATTGACATGGCTCTTATCAAGGCTACCATTGACCTCCATGTTTCTGAACAGAATGATTGATTCTCCGCAGATTTGGACGTAGGGCTTTCTTTCCTCCTGTAACTCTTGCTTCCCTTGGCTTCCAGGGCATTCTATCTCTTTGGATGCTTTTTATTTATTTATTTTTAGTTGCAGGTGGACACAATACCTTTATTTTTTATATATTCCCAAGTAGTGCTGAGGATCGAACCCAGCGCCTCACATGTGCTAGGCGGGTGCTCTACTGCTGAGCCACAACCCCAGTCCCTAGATGCTTCTTTTTTGATGACATCTTTGCTGATTCCTCTTTGTCTTCCAGCCATCTTTGAGTCCCTTCTCTTTCTACACTTGGATCATCTCCTGTAGCTTTAAATACCATCCATCTGCTGATAATTCTTAAATAATATCTTCAGCCAAGACCTTGCCCCAAACTAAGGCTGCCATGTTGAGCTGCCTGTGGGATGGCTGCACTTGATGTCAAACAGGCATCTCAAGCTCAATATGTCTAACAATGAGCTCCTTATCCTCCTCAAAAACCTATTCCTTCCAGTTTCCCCTGCCTTAGCCAATGGCAATCCATCCTTCCATGGTCTTAAGGTCAAACTCTTGTAGTCATCCTTAGTGTCTTTCTCTCACATTCCATAAGCAAATTCTCCAAAATATACACAGAATTTGGCTACTTCTCACCATTTCCACCGCTGCCACTCTGGTCCAAGGTAACATCTTCCCTCACTTGGTGGGTCAATCAACAACATGTCTTCCTATATATATATCCTTCGGCTTCAGCCTTCCCTCCTTTGGTCTGCTCTCTGTACGAAAGCTGAGTGACCTGTAAAATCCAGTGTCAGATCATGTCATTCATGATACCAATGACAACCCCTTCATATCACTCCAGTCAAATCCAAGTTCCTTACAGTGTCCTGGGTGACCTCTTCCTTTGACATTATAAACACGCTTCTGCTTCGAGCCCTTGCACCTGCCATTTTGTGTAGGGAAGGACAGGGGTTCTTGACCTTTTTTGTATGGTGGACTCTTTCTGAGTATAAGATCTTTTTATTTTTTAGATGTTGATAGACCTTTAGTTTTTTTTTATTTCCACGTGGTGCTGAAAATCGAACCCAGTGCCCCACACATGCTAGGCAAGTGTGCTACTGCTGAGCCCCAGCCCCAGCTCCTCTAAGATCTTTAAATTCAGTTTTTAAAAAAGTTCCATAAATTATAAAGAAAACCAATTTTATTGAAATACTACTCTCAAAAATATTTTTAAATGTATAATATAGTAATATATGTGCTTTATTAATTCATTAAATTGCAGCATAATGTTGAGGTAGTGATGAACGTAATATTTTAAGGTATTTTCAACAACTGTAATGTGATATGAAAATATCTGTGATTTTTACTAGCAGCAGTGTCACAGGTGCTGCTAATATCACTGATTTGTTATCTGCATTCATAATTGAAGAACTGCTATGCTTTAATTAGTGAAAATAAAGATGCAATTCTTTTTCTCATCAAAGGTGCTGACCCCCTGAGTTCTACCTATTGACCTTTGGAAGGGAGGGTTTGTGGGATCCAGGTTAAGAAGCTTGGGCTTAGAATGCTCTTATGCCCTCAATGTACCCTTATGCACATATACTGTCCCACACAACTCACTCCTCCTTTTGCTTAAGAATCACATTCCTGGTGAGGTCTTCCCTGACCATTCTACTTAAAATTATACCCTTACTCTCTCCATTTCCCTTTTCTGCTTAATTCTTCCCTACATCACTTAATTATTTTCAAACATATAGATTTTTAATTTATTTATTGCTATTTCCACTAGAAACAGACACTAGGCACTTGTCAAATGGTGACACATTCTAGTATGGTGTCTGGCATACAGAAGTCACTCAATAAGTACTTGTTGAAAATAAGTAATGATTAAATCTGTATGACCTATGTCTTCTCATTTTTTTCCTGCAAAAAGTTAATGAATGATTGGTGAGACTTTTAATAATGATTAAGGAGTTATAATTATCTTCATCACTATAATTTTATTAACTTCCAATATTAACCTTAAACAGTGGCACAGAGCTGCAGATTTCTTAGCATTCTGAATAAGCTTCCAGTCCTGTTTTCCAAGGATGCTTTGGGGGCCTGGATTTCACCCCATGTCAGGAACTATCTCTGATGCAAAGTGTTCATAAAGCTCTTTCTTGCCAAGGTAGCTAGCAGACTCCCCCAACTCCAATCAAATAAATAATAGTAAGAATACTTTTTATTTCTGGCAACACTATAAGTCAGCTACCACTTACTAGCTATGTAATTGTTGGTAAGTTACTAAACCTTTCTGAAGAGGTAAGATTTTTTTTTTTTTTTTGGTACTGGAGATTGAACTCAAAAACTAAGCCACATCCCCAGCCCTATTTTGTATTTTATTTAGAGACAGGGTCTCATTGAGTTGCTAGTGCTCTGCCATTGCTGAGGCTGGCTTTGAACTCACGATCCTCCTGCCTCAGCCTCCAGAGCTGCTGGAATTACATGCATGCGCCATCACGCCAGGCAAGATGGGATTTTTGTGGGGATAAAATGGAATGGCCCCCACAGGGTGTAGTATAGAGCAGGTGCTCTTTAAATGATCATCCACAACCTCTTCCACCTCAGCAGGTCACTCTATAACTGCTTGCCAATGCATTTTCCCATTCAAGTTCAGCTCCTGATGGCTAGGAGAAGGGCCGTGTCCTGTCTTCCAAGGCATGTTAACCTCCTGCAACTTGATCCAACCAGAGCAGCCCCCTTTAGGACTGCCTCTATAAATTGATCCCCGACCTCCAACATGTGACTGAGACTGTTATCTGGACCTTGACCGTGAAGCCCACCATTTATCGCAGTTTCCTTTCCTGACCCTCCTTGTACCCACACTGGTAGTTCCTGTACCCGTCCTCATAGAGGGAAAGACAGAAATCATCATCCTGCTGTTTTCAGGTGTGTAGTGCTTTCGAAGAGGGCTTTCACCCTTCCCCAAAATATGTAGGCACAAGGTAAGAGAGGAGAGGGTATGTGTGACAGCTCAGTGGTAGAGCATATGTTTAGCATGTGCAAGGCTCTTGGTTTAATTCAAGCACCAAATACCAACAAACAAAAAGGGGGAAGGGTCAAAGTACTCCCATGCACCATGCATTTGAGTCTGGTTCTGCTTTACCCACACAGCATGTATACATGCATGTTTACATATATGTATATATGCACACATGGCCTCAGGAATCTTCCACCACTTCATTATAGGAAGAGGTAAAACAGACCCAAAGAGATGAATCCACTGACCCAGATCACACAGCTTCTCAACTGCAAAGTCAGGAACTGAACCCTCCTAGCCTCCAACACCTGTTTCCAGGGAAAATCCTACCAACTGACCACTGTGAGCCAGAGCCAGGTCTAACTTTGAGATGGCACCCAGTCCCCTCTTCTTGCCAGATAAGCTGCCTCATACTTTGTGAATGAAGGCCACAGAAGAGAAATGTTGCAGTGACTCCCTTTGAGCTCATATTTCTTTCTTGTTGCAAAAAGTGCTTATTTCAGCACCCATCATCTCCCTCTTTGTTGTGTAGACAATCCGCCCTGTCGGATTTGAGCTGTTATTATGAGTTTGTTTATTATTAGATTTATTTCTCCTATAAGCAAATGTGTTCGCAACAGTCCATGGGGAATCTTCTTAATTGTCACATAAATGTCATCTTATGTAAATTGAATATTTATGTTTTCATGGAAGTCGGTGGAGGGAAAAGGAAGAATAAACAACCTTCAGTCTTGGAGAGGGAAAGGGATTCACAACTCACCCACATGCCTTCAAAACCAAAAGGTGAGTTGCAAAAATCATTGGATCATCTTGGAGGGGCAGCCAATAGAGCGGGGGTGGGGTGGGGTGGAGAAAAAGCTGGCAACTATGCCATGGGAATATTGGGCTAGCCTCCCGGATCTCCCCAAAACCTCCAGCCAAGACCAGACTACTTTGCTGGCTGAGGCATTTCGAGGAGGCTGAAGGTTGCCCCCAACCCTCCCTATCCAAGAGACAAGCCCTTCTCCTTCCTAGAGAGAAGGTGAGCGCGGCGGGCGCAGCGGGTTAGGTGGGTGTGGTCCGCAGCTCTGGGAACCAACCCAAGGCCCCGCCACCGCCGGCTAGCCGCCCGACAGCCCGCCCGCCTGGCGAGCGCAGGCTCTTCTTCCAGAAACTACGAGGATCCAAGCGCACTGTTTGTGCACCACAAGGTCAAGTCGGGAAGTGGAGCCGGCGGAGGAGGGGCGATGAGGCGAAGGGTGGGGAGGGGGGAGCCCCGCTTCTTAGCCAAGTGCCAGCCCTTGGAAGTTGCCCCTCTGTTGTTAACCCTTTAAGGGGAATGGGCGGGACGAGCAAAAGGGAAGGGGTTGCCCCGAGGCAAACTCCTTCTGGACCCAGGACGTGCAATCACCCAACCACCCATCACCGCGTTCTTCACCCTCCGGAAATACGGGGCAGCTCCGGGCGCCTGGAGGCACCCGAGAGGGGGGAGGGGGCGACGAGCCCTAGAGGGACCCTCTCTACGGACCGCCCCTCTTTTCGTGAGGTCGCCTACAATTTCAAGTTTCCCCTGCCCGGGATGTTAGTTTCCATTTGGTGTGGGTAGGCGACGAAGGCTGCGCCCCCTCCCCCAGACTAGTACGCGCCCCTCCCCTCCGCTCCTGCCAGCACTTTCTGCTCACTTCTGGCGCTGTAAAACGCCACGCGATTTATTCGATTCACATTTTAAAACCAGCGATTCGGAAACGGGGCCGAGGGTGAGGGTCTCCCAGCGCTGGAGTCCCGGGGGGCGGGGTGCTCAGTGCAAACCTCGTTTCCTCCGCGAGTGTCGCCTCCAGGCTGTTATTTGCAAAGAAACGTCTTTTTGACGCAGGGAGAAATGGCAAATTTTAAGTACGTCATTAATATGGCGCCAAAAGATTTTTTTAAGTATAAGCTTGCTATTTTTTTTTTTAAGGTTGCGGGGGGCGCCGCCCGGGTCTGGGGCGCGAAGGAGGCGGGGTGTGAGCAGAAAGTGTGAGTGAGAGAGTGGAGGGGCGGGGTATGTGTGTGAGTGTGTGAAGTGTGAGCAGACCTGATGGGACTTGCACGGGCGCAGCCGCCGCTCGGGCCCGGCCCTGGGGACAGGGCGGGCTGGGGGCGCCCCAGAGTGCTTGAG